TTTTTATGATTTGTTTATTTAAATAAAAATAATAGAATTTTGTTATAAAATACCAGAATCTGTATCAAATATCGCTCCCCGGCCCCTAACAGATTAAAGAATAATATCTGTTCATATCAGCTTATACAATTGTTTATAAAATTAAACAGTAATCCTTTGTAAGTTTTTATAACTTACTGACATTTTACATGACATTTTTGAGTAATTTCTAGAAATACAATGTTACAAAATCATTTTATTTGACTCATTCAACATAACCGTTTACTCTAAATTCTCCGCTACTCAGTTATTCAGTTAATAGGGACCGTACGTCATGACTTTAACGCTAACTGGTGTCAAAAATGTGAACTTTATGGGGGGTATTTATTAATGTTTTATACGGCATTTTTTGTTTAATAATTATTAATTATTTTCGTAATATCATTATCGAAAAAACTTATTGCATCCGTGGATGTACAAACACATCACTTTGGAAACCTGGATTTCATTCGATAGTAAAGAAATTTTATAAATTTCCACAGAGCACAACAATAATTAATGTCTCACACCCAATGATATACATAATTACAAAGATTGCTTATCCATATGTAAATCAGACGACGAAAAGCGTATTTCACTGGGCAAAGTTTTCTTTTTATCTAGCTTGTATTAATTTTGAGCACTTAGTTGTAAAGAAATCATTTACAGAACCGGTTTAGAAATTAGAATCTTTAGTGTTTTCTTGTCATTAAGATTTTTACATATTTAAATGAACATTTTATATATAAATATAATTTTACAGATAATTAATGGTTTACTCTGTTGATTAAAACTCATGTGGAATGTTATTATGAAATAAGAATGTCCAATTTGACAAAAATATCATGACTCTCTTTACAATTTATTAACTATTTCTCATTTAATATTAAAATAAACAAATCATAAATAATACATTGCAATTACTGTCAAAAGAGATTGTAACAAACTTTAAAATATTAAAAATCCAGTGAATTTTTGTAAATTTTTTTAGTGACATTACCATTAAACATTATTCAGAATAATAACTTTGGTAAGAGTTGTAATTGGACACTTATCTATTATTCTGAGTAATGTTTAATAGTAATGTTACTAAAAATTTTACAAAAATCACTGTATTTTTAATATTTTAAAGTTTTAACAGTAATCGCAATGTATTAATTATGATTTGTTTATTTTAGTGATAAATGAGAAATAGTTAACAAATTGTATGATATGTTTGTCAAATTGGACATTCTAATTTCACAGTAACATTCTACATTAGTTTTAATTAACAGAATAAACCATTAATTATCTGTAAAATTATATTTATATAAAATGTTCATTTAAATATGTAAAAATCTTAATGACAAAAAAACACTAAAGATTCTAATTTCATAAACCGGTTCTGTAAATGATTTGTTTACAACTAAGTGCTCAAAGTTGATACAAGATAGATAAAAAGAAAATTTTGCCCAGTGAAATACACTTTTCGTCTACTGATTTACATATGGATAAGCAATCTATGTAATTATGTATATCGTTGGGTGTGAGACACGAAGTGTGCTCTGTGGAAATTTATAAAATTTCTTTACTACCGAATCAAATCCAGGTTTCCAAAGCGATATGTTTGTACAACCACGGATGCAACAAGTTTTTTCGATAATGATATTACGAAAATAATTCGACTTTATTTAATTAATAATTACTAAACAATAAATGCCGTGTAAAACATTAATAAATCTTCCTCAAAAAGTGCACATTTTTGTCACCAGTTGGCGTTAAAGTCATGACGCACCTGGCACGGTCCCTATACCCAGACTACTTAATTTTTTAAATATTGCGGGTAACGGCAGAAATAGTAACAAGTAATAAATTAATCTTGGCAACCCCGCTCATTATCCAGAAAATAAATGTCAAATATTAAAATTTTCAAAAAGAAAAGAAGAAGAAGTTTTAGGTTAAATTTAATGAAAGACTAGTTTTCTTATTTTTAAAAAAGTATTTAATTAAAATATATAATTGATTTACTTTTTTCGTGTTTCCAAACCTAAGGTGAGTTAAAATCATACTTAATATCATTTAAATCAAAAAACAAAGTGAAATTGGTCAAACAGCGTTTCCCTAAAGTCGAATGTAACCCAAATGTTCATCAGTCTATGAGGTTTTAGACTGGAAGTTGAATGATGTTGAATGATGTTGACTTGATGAGATCGATTTTGCAAGTGACTATAACACAGCCCCACAAAAAAAAGTGTACAGACTTGCCATGCCGGTCGGATATATGTATTCCCATGTATTTTTCGACGCTGAATCCGATCCCGAGCTCAGAAATGGCCCTCCACGTCTGGAATTGGCCCCACGGGCCAAAAATGGCCTCTATATGGTCTGAAAGGTGGAAGAGTCAGGACTGGCCCAAATCAAGTTCCTGAGGGGTTTCAAAGTCGCTGATCACGATTATGATATTCAAATTGAACCACAGCCGACCTGGAGTTCAGGAACGCCGATGAACGTTATCTACGGGGACTATCCCCAAATTCACGTGGGTAAGTAGAGAAACTCGGCGCTCGGTGGTTTTTTGGGTTGCTGAATTCAAATATAACATCGGTGAACACCCCCTGAACACCTGATGCGCTGGAGCCGGCACGTGGACGTCATCTCCGAGAAGTTTCTTGCCAAGATTGCCAAAAACAAGCCGAAAAACCTTGTAGGGGTATTTTTTGGAGCTCTTGATCCAAATTTCACGTCGAAAAGGATCCCCGAACACATAGTGCATCGAAACGTCGTCTCCGAGGGTTCTCCAGACACAATCGCTAAAGACAACCCGAAAATCGTCATGGGGGGTTTCTAGGCACGCGGAATCCAAATTCCATCACGAAAACGTACCTCCGGAGACCTGGTGTACCGGAACTCCGGCCTGAACGTCATCTGAGAGGGTTTTCTTCACACAATCGAGACTACTGTGTCTTATTAGAGATCCCCGTATACCTCACTGCATATACATGCATACTTCCGTATGAGGAAGTAAAGTCGGGGATTCCATTCTGTATCGTTTAAACTACTCTTTATACTTGACAATCGAGTGTAGAGGAATACATGGGTAAAGGAGAGATGCCTTAGAATTCGTGGATCCCGGTATCTAAACTATCACATAGGAATATTTCTTGAATTAAGGTCGTACTCAAGCGTGATGAAACCTTCTCGACGTCAAATCTATTCGCAGAGTAGAAGAACATTGGTTTCACTCAATTTTCATTAAAATGCCACTCGATTACTACGTCCCAAATACGACTTTCCGGTTCTTAAGGGGTCGTTTTCCCAGTCCCAAAGGGAGAATTCCAGTTGGCCATAAACTTTTCGAGCACAGTCTGAGTTCGGGAACTAGGACATAAATAAGGACATAAAAATACCACTGTAGCGATTGCAACGTCTGATACACGGTGTTCCGCCCCCTAAGGGGCCATTTTCCCGGTCCAAACATGGAATTCCAGTTGGCCATAAATTTTTCGAGCACAGTCTGAGTTCGGGAACTAGGACATAAATAAGAACATAAAAATACCACTGTAGCGATTGCAACGTCCGAAACACGGTTTTCCGGTCCCGAAGGGGCCATTTTCCCGGTCCCAAACATGGAATTCTAGTTGGCCATAAACTTTCCGAGCACGGTATTCATTCCAGAATTCAAAAGTACATAAAAATACCACTGATACCATTGCAACGTCCGAAACACGATTTTCTGGCCCCTACCGGGCCATTTTCCCGGCCCGCACGAGGAATTCCAGTTGTCCGTGAACTTTTCGACCACAAACCTGACTTTGGCTTTAGAATGCACCTTCAACCACGCCTCATCTCGGAATCCACTTTCAGGCCATATAGAGGCCATTTTTGGCCAATTCCAGACGCGGAGGGCCATTTCTAAGCTCGGTATCGGATTCAGCGTCGAAAAATACATGGAAATACATATGTCTGACCGCCAAGCCAAGCCAAAGTACAGTACTAGGTTTACATTTGATATAGTACTGTATCAACGACCACTACCCAGGTCATTGCTAGAGTCATTGGTCCAGGAAAGAGGAAACTAAACACAGAAATGAGCAAATGACTCGAAGCGAATCAGGGAGGACGTCCTGTGCAGATGGCACGAAACATGGGAGGGAAATAGTACAGACTAAATGAATGATCACGGATATAAGGCTACAGAATACTAAAGTACTTATAATTACTATTAACTATTATATGACCCAGTTTCTATCTGGTCACGGATCTTTTATAATGTACACATTAAAGGAAAAACCGAAGAGGATGACGTTGATGTCGAGAATACAGTACTACAATGTGTGAGATTCCCTGAAAGGACTAGCATGAATAATGTGCCTAAGTATAGAAAATTTCAGGGTGCTCTGCCCGAAGGGCAATATAACGTCATTAAGAATACCATTATGAAAATAATGAAGTCCAAAGGGCTAGAAGAACGTATTCATTAACAGTGATAGTTCACTGCACAGAGGTTATAAGATATTTAGAAAGATATTTCATTAGGGGAGTAACTACCCCTTTGGCTACAGCTGGCAAGAGAAAGTCCTAGATAAGCATCCTCTCATAGTCCTGCCGGTGGATGGTAAACATGAGGTTCTTTTGATGAATTACATAATACATGGTAAAATTGTTGGCATTTATTTCTGGGATACTCTAGATAAAATTACTCTTAAGGTAATTAAACAATTTGCAGGACCCAAAGTTATAATAATAATAATAGTAAATAACTAATATTTAATTTTTTTTAATCATGCTTAAGAACGCCAACTCTACTAAAATTCTAATCAATTTGATCTAAACAAAAATTACAAAACTTCTACACAATTATGGACAGCACAGTATTTTTTTCACACAATATTTTTTCTATACAACTATCTTACTATATTACCTATAATTTAAAATGTTCTTTCTATGCCGAAGTTTCGAAATAAATTTTTTGTTCTTAAAAAAAAAAAGTAAAAATGCCTTACCTAGTAGGAGTGTTTTGCGAGGGAATGCAAGCAGATCCACGTTTCGAAATTGAATTTTTTGCATTAGTCAAAGGAACAGCAAAGCCAGATAATTTACTTGTACTCTGAAAATATTTCAAATAATGTAAGCCCCATAAAAACTTTTTTTAGTAAAAATTGTCTTTTGTTTACATTTGACATATTATTTTTGTTTTTTTTTTATAAAGTGCAACATAGGTAAAGTGGAAAGGAAATTTCAGCATCTTTTTTAAAAATACCAATGAAAGAAAATTGCCATTCTATTCATCTAATTTAGTGTTTCACTATTATAGAAAGAAACAAGCTTTTCAGTGATGTAACACTCGACCTGTGTTGTAATAATAATTCGTTTCAATCTTGTTGTCAGAATTTTTAGTAACCCTGTAGATACAATAAAATTATTTAAAATATTAATCTCTTTCCATATTTAAACGATTAAAAAAAAATATACCAAGTTACCATTTGTGATAAATAATTCAATAAACACAAATTTAATTAATTGATAATAATCTATATCTTTTTCAACTATATTAGTCAAATAAATAAATGCTGTAGGTAGACCTACCAATTTATAAAAAATAAATAATTTTGTGTTAAGATATAAGCATTTTTCAATTAAATAAACATACATGCAATTTTACTAATTAATATCAATTGTTTAACTTTAAAAGCACTTGTTCGCCGGGATTGAACAGATCTCAGATATAAAAATTACATGAAGTTACTCACCTTTGCATTTTTTATTTTAACGCATTCTTGAATATTGTCTTTACATGTGTTTTGATGGACAGTAGTACCACAGCCTAAAATAAACATAGTTCATGGTATTAAACGAAAAAACAATGTAAAATTAACGTTATCAGCATGAAACTTAAATTATATGGTGAAAACAATACCACTGGATATACAATGTTCAATAAATAGGACGGGTGATTTATGGTAAATAGTAAATATTTTTGAATTGCAATTTATTCTAATACAAAAAACTACTTCGCAAATCAACATTTAAAAAATATTGTTACTAACATATTAGATATTTTCATAATGATTTTTTCAATTTAAAAAATAATTAGAAATATAAAAATCTTTATTTTTATTTAAATTGCAGACGTCATGACCAAAGCAAAATATAAGCACATAATCGAGTTTACTCAAAATTAACATGAAGTTTATCAATTGCAATTTAATAACTACTTTTATATCAATCAATCAATCAAAAATACTTTATTGTCGAAGAAGTACATCTTATTGTCAAAGCTAGACACTTACATAACACTTAAATAATAGAAATAAAAATAATAATAATAAATAGAAACAATGGAGGAGCAACAAGAATTATTTACAATATAATCGTTCAACCTTAGAAACCACATATTAAGACAAATGGCAAAAAATAATGTATGAGTATGAGATAAATTAATATGTAAGATAAACCGTTTAAATGCACAGCACTGGTGACAAATTTAGTTCCTCAGCATAATATTTGGAGCCACCATCAGATGAAAGCGATGTTGCCAGTTTCCGTAAACTTTCATGAAATTGGAGTTATTTCAAACATCTGATTTTGATTTTGTCAAGCTCGATACCATCCATACTATGGCATACTATAGCATACTATTACTGGGATATTTTAAAGAGAGGTTTGACAACTATGTTGACAACCTGGTAAAAATGAAAAACGGAACGGCGGAAGGCGAAATGGGCAAATTACACTTAAATAAAAACATAATAAAAGTTATTTTCATGATATATCCCCTCAGGGGATATATTGTGGTTATTTTATTATGATATAAGTTCCATGTTATTTTTTAGGTTAAGAAGATTCATAAGTGCTGATTTGATGTAATTAGTAAGTATTAACAATTTGATTTAAAATTAGGTGTTGGATTTTTTAAGGACTTTATTTATCATTATTTTCTTAGCCTTAACGAAATATAATTTCATTTTGAATCTGTTTCCAATTCTTTTTCAATATATTTGTAACAATAACAAAACATGTCTGGCCCGGATAAATCGTCGAAAGGTAAAGCTAAGTATTCTTGTTGAGCTCCTAATTGTTTAAATAAGTATTCTAATATTCAAGCTGGGTATTAAAATAAAACATTTTTCATTTTCATGTTAAAATTTGGGAGAACTGGTTTAAGAATTTAATTTTAACTTTCTTTAGATAATAAAACTTGCTATCATTGTAAAGATCATGTTTTGCCAGTCTTTTAGCAAATGCTGTACCAATTTTATTAGATAATAGTACATTTAGTTTAACTATACCCAACTAAACTCAAGCCGAGAGTCAAATTGAAGAAAATATTGAGGCTGAAAAACATAGCAGCATAAGATAGATTTGCTTACCTATCCACAATGAAAAACAAGAAAAGAGTTGCAAACGTAAACTTAGTATTAATGATAAACAATTTGAACCACCCTCAAAACGAAAAACTGTCCTAAAGCGAAAAAGAGAATTTGTAAGCTAGAGAAACCTTAGTTTTTCCAAAAATATACGAATTTTAGACAAATTAAAAATAACTTGTACTCATAAGAATGGCCAACATTTTGATAGGTAAGTGAAATTGTTCAATAACACTTTTTTTGTTTTTATAGAAACACCTACATCGAAATTTGGTCCATTTTTAACCGACTTCAAAAAAGGAGGAGGTTATCAATTCGTCGCGATATTTTTTTTTTATGTATGTTCAGCGATTATTCTTTAACACGGTGTCCGATTTCAATGATTCTTTTTTTGTTAGAAAGAGGGTACTTCAGGGGTGGTCCCATATATATTTGGTCAAAATCTAATAATTGGGTCAATGAGAAAATCATCAAACTCTTCATTTTTTATGTATGTTTAGCAATAATTCTTTAATACGGTGTCCGATTTCAATGATTCTTTTTTCGTTAGAAAGAGGGTACTTCAGGGGTGGTCCCATATACATTTGGTCAAAATCTAATAATTGGGTCCATGAGAAAATCCTCAAACTCTTCATTTTTTATGTATGTTCAGCGATAATTCTTTAACACGGTGTCCGATTTCAATGATTCTTTTTTTGTTAGAAAGGGGGTACTTCAGGGGTGGTCCCATATAAATTTGGTCAAAATCTGATAACTGGGTCCATGAGAAATTCCTCAAATTCTTCATTTTTCATGTATGTTTAGCGATAATGCTTTACGACCTTGTCCTATTTATATGATTCTCTTTTTTGTTAGTAATGGGGTACCTCAGGAATGGCCACATATAAATTTGGATAAGATGTGCTGACGGCATCTGCACGTTTTTGAAGTCGGTTTTTTTAAATTTTTAATTTAGATCACTTGTCAAAGAATAAGAGGAGACTACTATTAATTTCACTTACAATTATTGTTTTTAATATTGAGTACATGTTATGTATCTAATAAACGTTTAAATGCACCTTACTTGTATTAAATGATTAAATTATACCTGTTTCAAATAGTATTTTAATATAAATATTTCTTTATTTATATTTTTTTGGGGTTTTACTACTTTAACAAACTAATATTTATGGTAAATACAATATTTTAATTTAAATATTAGTTTTTTTAGAGTAATGAATGCCTAAAAATGTAAATAATTAAATAAATAAAGAACCGCGGGATTAAGACCGCGGGTAAGCTTTCCAATCTTCTTTTTATTTCCTTTTCTGCTGCCTTTAACTGTCAGCCAATCAGCCAATACGCTAGTTCAATGTGATGTCATTTTGGTTCCACTGACATTTAATTCTAACCAAACTTTTAACAAAAACATCAATAAATTTGACATATACGTTTTTACTGTTTTTAGTTTATTTCTAAATATTGTTTACAGGTCATAAAAAATAGTTTAAAGGTATGTAATTGGTAACTAAACGATTGTTTATTTGATGCATGTTATCTACGTACCTTTGGAATATATTTATAAAAGTGAAAAAACGATATAATTTAAATAAGCAAAACGAACAAAACGAACTCAAAAAATCGCTTTAATTGTCAGTGGAACCATAATTACATCATCACTGAACTAGCGTATTGTGTAGTGTGTTATAGTGGCTCCAAATAGTATGCTGAGGAACTAACAACTTGTAACCAGTGTCGTGCATTTAAACGGTTTATCTTAAATATTAATTTATCTATGGTTAAGTCTGAGGAACAAAAGACAGTAAATTAACAGTGGTACAAGTGCCTTCCAGAAGTACTTAAAGATGTGAAAATAGACCGTGACAACGTTTTCACACATCAACGGTAATTTTTTGAAGGATAAACGTATTAAAGAGTTCTTTTAAAAAAATATCTACCAGGTAGAAGATTTTCAACTAAGGAATTCATATATTTTTTTAAAGCTTGTCTTCAGGAGTCTGGTCGGACGCATTTAAAAAATATCGGCTTCAAAGTTATATTGACTTGTAGTGGATTATTTCGAAGCATTTAGTAGAATCTTTGGAATGTTTTTTAAAAAATGTGTATATAAAAATTTACAGAGTAACCATCGTATAAATAATTCATTAATTAGCAATCTACTTACTTTCACAGTAAAGAGCAGGTTTATTGCTTAACGATTTGGTGCAAACATCACATATATGAGAATTACCATAACTACCAGAGACCCACTGATGAGGCAATTTCTTTGATTTATCCTAGAAATAATTGAGCATTTCAAACTTATTTAATAAATCATTTCTTACCGATTACCTTTTTTTTTCTGAAGAATAAGCTTCCTCTCTTTCTTCGTTTTTCTGAATGTCGGTCGTAGGAAACGCTGAAATATTAGTAAATATTTTAATAATTAAAATCAAATTGTCAAATAATAGAAAATGAAACTACAAATTTAATACCTACAGTTAATTTAGAGATTATTAACAATTTGTCTTTTACTTTCTATATGAACAGTAATTATTATTGAAAAAAATGTCTTCAGAAATTGCTTCTAACATCGAATAGTTAATTTAAGTTATTTACAATGAAAGATGGTTATAAAAAGTTTGCTTTGAAGAGTAGAAATATGTCTTATAGTCAAATAATCTTAAAAAGAAAAAAAAAGAGACATAAATGTAGATTAAGTAAACAATATTTTTATAAATATATCTCATAATAAAAATACCTACTTAACAAAAAATTCTTACAAAGCATGCAAAAAATATAATATTTTACCGTGTTCTAAATGATAAAAAAGCAGTTTAAATACTTTAAAATATATGAATTTTTTTTTATACATATAAAGTGTTTAAAAAATAGGATACACGAGATGTGTAAATTAAGCACGGACAACGCAGCCTTCGATCTGGCAACACTTGGGACGCAGAAGGTGATTATGTAATACGTCTTCAATGCGAGTTTGAACTCGCCAGTCATTTTTTGATTGTCTGTAGGGATTTTTTTTCGTGAAACAATTTTTCTATGGTTTCGATGGTAAAAATTAATGACATCGATTTCAAGCGTCCGTGTACTATTAGGTTTTGCTTCAGACTTGGGCACTGTGTAACTTGAAAAAGGGTCACAAGTGTGAGACTATCTGATATCAAGATCAACTGGGTATGGCATCATGATAATGCGCCTTGTCACATAGCAATTTTGGCAAGTAAAAACATTCATGTAGCTCTTCTGTCTCCTTATTCACCTAAATTAAACACAAAACATTCAAACAGCTGTAATCTGAAGACCATAGCATCCGAGTTCCTGCACAGCTATGAACTGTGTTATTCGAATAAAAAATTGAAAAAATATCAGCCTCATTACTTAATTTACACACCTAAGATATTTTCTGAAGTGTTATCCAAAATTTCTGAGATTTTGAATATTTTGTATAGTTGGCTTGATACTTTAAAGGTATCTTTGCAGTTCCCCTCACTTAATTCATATGAGAGAGATAATATGGCTGCGTATTTGCCAAAATCATTCCTATACCTTTACCAAGTATACCTATAATTAGTGTCAAGTAAAGACTATACACCAGTAGTATGAGCATATTCCCGTAGATGCCATTTGTTTATTTTGCCACCCATTTGTCTGTCACATAGATTTAGAGAAAGAATAGTCAACTGACAGCATTATAAGTGCAGGAATTTGAGATTTCTTTAAATTGTGCTCTTCTTTTTTTGTTTCATATACAGAGTAACATAAAATCTGCATTTATTTTTACTAGGGCCTTAATGAACCTGTATCAAATTGCAAATGGAGGCTTTTGATGAGCAATCATTAAGCCTTATGTGGATAAATTGTTTCACAGGTGCTAAAAGTTTGAACAAGATTGAACTTTTTTCAAGAAATTCCATGTAAAATTCCAACACATGCTAAATATTCTATAGCTAACATATTTTAACAAGTTACTCAACAAATCGTTGGAAATGTGAGAATGTGGAGGCAACGGTCGTTTATGAGCCAATTCTCAGAAATTGTTGGGTAGTTTACCGTTCCAATCATAATATAAAATTTGAAAAATATAAAAATGAACAGAAAATTGCTAAATAGTTCTATGTGCGTATCGTCTTTGTGTTGCGGTTAAGGCACGATTCTAACAAGGCGCTCAGGTCCCATTACACTCACGCTCCGCTCACAATCAAGGATGTGAGCTAGTATTCACATATTACAATCAACTGGCGCTCATTTTAATATTTTTAACCAGTTTTGTGAAAAGCGTTAACACATGCCTGTTGTAAGATGAACAAATTATCAATAATCTATTTAGCTGTAATTGCAATTTGTTTGGATGATGAAGAGCAACACAAGCAACGAAGGAAGATATGGGTTCACGATATTTTATGAAAACGAAAAATTTAAGGAGAATTGTCTTGTAGATGACAAAACAAAATTTATACAATATTTTCACAATGACAAAACATATATTCCAGTACATTTTGAATATAACTTCAGCTGATTTGACAAAGCAGAATACTACATTTCGGGAGGCAATTTCATCGTTAGAGAATGGAGAAGTTGTTGCTAGTCTGATTGTCTCAAAGGTTCACTCACGGTTCTTTCAAAATATTCGCAAGAAAAAAGACAGAGGTCAAAGATGAGCGGAACGCCAAATATGAATATTTTCATTTAAAAAGCATGTCACAATATTGCATCGCGTCTTCAGTGGAGCGTGACCTGAACTACTGTGAAAATCGGCCTTTACCGCAGTATAAGCCTTACAATCAAATCAAATATTCCGCTGAATGAGTCAAAAGAAACCTTTGGTTCGTGCAAAGGCTAGCAACAATGTTGTCTATATTGTAATATAAATAGGTACATTAATAAGTATTTTGTGAATTACTTCTGTTTCAAGAGTAGTATTTGAAGAACATTTTTTATTTAAACTGCCTATGATGCAGGTATAAACAGTCCCTTTATTAACCAACTACGAAAGACATTGGTAAATAAAACCAGTAACTTTTTATCAACAAACAGATATTTCCTTACTTTTTTAACTCAATATAAATAAGTAACACACCATCTGAACTGGTTAATTCCCAGCCTCTAATCAAATTTATTATAATAATTACAACTTAGTGACATATCACAGCTCGAGATACAGTTTAGATGTGTCGTTTTTCGGAGAGAACAGAAAAAACGAATTACATAGTTTTTAGTTCCTTAAATGATTTAACTTATATATGGGGTCCCTATTATTCCATAGGGACAGTATTGCTATTTCTTAAACGGTTACAGATAGAAAGTTGGTTAAATTAGACAACAATAACGCAATTTTATGCTCATTAAAATGGCGCCAAGAAACCTTTGGGATTCAAAATAACGGACAAAAAATGACAATTACCATTTGTTTAAAATCATTATTTTATAATCTCCCTGTAGATATCAAAGGTTTCTTAGCACCATTTTAATGAGCACAAAACTGCGCAACTTTTGTCTAATTTAACCAACTTTCTGTTACCGTTTAAGAAATAGCCATACTGTCTCTATAAAATAGTAGGGGCCCTGTAGATATAATTTTACATCACTATTTCGGATTATTACCAAAATTCGCTTTCACTTTTCTAAATATTCTTTCAATGCAATTTAATTTCATAAAAATACGAATAAGAGTAGAAGTCAAGTAATTATTTTGTCACTATTGTAGAAAATATATTTAAAAAATGTTGTTGTGAATTATTTATCGTATGAACAAACTACAAAAGAACAAGTAAAGAGGTACATAATATACATGGGAAGTCAACCAAAGAGTTGATATCAGAACAAGTAAAGAGGTAAAACCACATACAATGTTTGAAAGACTACAAAACACATTCTTTTAACAGATGGTAAATAATGATAAAGAAAACGCGAATAAATAGCGCAGCGATATGAAATAGAGAATATATTTTTCAGCTTTTCTTGGTTTTTTCTACGATCACTTTTTAAATAATTATTTCAAATTCATTCAACATAGTTATTATTATTCACCGATGAAAAACTACTAGACTAATTTTGTTTACAACAAGTATTAAAAGTAATTTTAAAAAACCAACTTCAAAATCTTGCCGATGCCATCTCCACATCTTGACAAAATTTATGTGAGACAACCCTTGAGGTACCCCCTTACTAACAAAAAAATAATTATTGAAATCAGACACCGTGTTAAAGAATTATCGCTGAACATACATAAAAAAATATTCCTTCTTTGAAGTCGGTTAAAAATCTAATTGCAAACATTCATGGTGTCATCCACGCAGTTGTCAAATTATTATGAGAGAGTATGGGAGAGTATTGTTACAAGGATTGTTTATGGTTATTTTGACAAAAATAATTGCAGTGTGTGCTGTGATGGCTAACAATCGAGATTACCATTTTCTAATGTAGGTGTGCGAAGCAATTATGTATTGGAGATTATACATGGTGATGTCTGTGGACCAATGGAAGTCGTCTCACCTATGGATCCCGATATTTCCTTCTACTCATTGACGATTTTAGCAAAATGTCATTTGTTTGTTTCTTTAAGGCAAAAAGTAAAGCTTTTGAGCGATTTAAGGAGTTCAAGTCCATGGTTGAGACCCAAAAAGGAAAGAAGATTAAGATTCTTAGAACTGACCAAGGTGGCGAGTTTTGTAGCAAAGAATTTGACAGCTATTTAAAGAAAGCAAGTATAATTCATTAAAAAACAAATACTTATACTCCCGAACAGAATGGTGTTGCCGAAAGATTCAACCGAACCATTGTAGAAAAGGCAAGATGCCTCTTGTTCGATTCTGGACTAGGTAAGAGATTTTGGGGTGAGGCAGTTAATACTTCTAACTATTTAAGAAATAGATGTATCGCCAGTGGCCTAAATGATAAAACTCCGTTTGAACTGTGGTAGGGTAAAAAATCTGACATATCAGGCTTGCGTATTTTTGGTAGTACAATTATGGTACATGTTCCAAAAGAGAAACGTCTGAAATTTGGTCAAAAAATCTAATAAACATATTTTGGTAGGATATTCTAAAGAAATAAAAGGCTATCTAGTTTATAATCCTAGAAGAGATGATGTCACAACTAGCAGAGATGTATATATCAATGAGGATCCAAATACTAAGACTTTTGACATCATAGTTACTGAAAACAAAGAAGAATTACCAATTTCAGTGGGGGAAGATAACTCAGATGTTAGCTTAATCCAAGAATACAACTCAGATTTAACCACAAGTTCCACTGATGATACCTTAATAGCAGATAATCCAAGTGACAGTGACTACGTGCCAGTTAACACATCAGAAAAGTCTTTTAGTGATAGTGTAGTGCCTAGAAAGTCGGAAAAACAAAAAAAGGTCAAAAAATTTGATGAATATGTGACTTATTTAAGTCCAGCTGTTTAGAACTACCCAGATGAAGCTCCAGTAGGTCTTACAGAGGCTTTATCACGACCTGATGGCAGCCTGTGGAGGCAGGCCATGGCAGACGAGTTGAAGAGTCTCCAGGACAATGAAACTTGGGAACTGGCAGACTTGCCAGAAGGTAGTGCTTTAGTGCAGATTATAATGAAACCTTTTCGCCTGTTGTTAGGCACTCTACCCTAAAGTTGTTAATAGCTTTAAGTGTAAAATTAGATTTAGACATCTTTCATCTTGACGTAACCACAGCCTTTTTACATGGTCATTTAGAGGAGACCATTTTCATGAGCCAACCTGAAGGTTTTGTAAATTCAGATAGGTCAAATAAAGTGTTAAAATTGAAACGTGCCATTTATAGCCTAAAACAATCCTCTCGTGTTTGGTACAAGAAGGTCGAAGATGTTTTAACTAATTCAGGGTACAATAAATCCAATTTTGAGCCATGTGTCTTCATTTCATTTCATTTCTTCATTTTTTCAAATGATATTGTTGAATCAAATGTTTTAAAAAGGAATTAGCGGTAAATTTCAAGTTAAAAGATCTTGGCCAGGCTAAGCAAATTTTAGGAATGAACATCCGTATAGACAAGGCAAGGAATGTCATAACATCGGACCAAAGACATTACATAGAATATTTATTATCTAAATTTGGGATGTCTGACTGAAAAACTGTCGATACGCCAATGGAGAGAAATTTAAATTTATCAAAAAGAAAAAGTTGCGATCCCTTGCCGTATCAACATTAAATAGTTGGCCTATGGTCATGACAAGGCCAGATATATCTTATAGTGTTAGTTTTCTTATCCAGTTTAATAACTGTTTTGATAATACTCACTGGCAGAGTATTAAAAGAATTTTGAAATATCTACAGAAAACCAAAAACTTATGTTTAAAGTTTCAGAAAGACTCAAAAGTCTAGGTTTTGTAGATGCTGATTGGGCCAGCAATTTTTCTGGATAGGAAGTCATATACAGGTTTTTGTTTCATTTTTTCAAATTCAGCTGTGTCTTGGGAGAGCAGTAAACAAAAAACGTTTGCCTCTCAAGCACTGAGGCCGAATATATGGCCTTAGCAAAAGCAGCTAAGGAGGCCATATATTTTCGAAACCTATTAAAAGAATTGACAGGTTCCTTTGATTGTATTTCAATTTACAGTGATAGTCAAAGCCCTAAAGCTTACGTCAAACCCCATGTTTCATAAAAGGACTAAACACATAGATGTTCGTCATCATTTAATTAGAGAAACTGCAACAAGTGGTTTGATCAATACAGAATACTTGCAGACAAATGAGATGTCTGCAGATATCCTGACAAAGGCCTTGGGAGCAAACAAACATTACAAGTTTTTGAAACACCTGGGTTTAGAAAGCTTGTTTCTTTTTTTTTGTGAATTATTATTTCAAACTAGTGGGGGTGTTGTAAAGTTTGAAATACCCTCCTTTTTATAATGCACCTAGTGCCCTCTCTTGCTTCCTTATTGAATGTCTCGTTTCATAGGAGGAAATAGATCCTCCATGAGTTAGTCGTAATATAGTCGTTGCCGAAGAACAAAGTGTTTGGTATTATTTTAAAACCTACCAAGTTTCCCATTTTTGACAATAATTGACTAAACATAAGGCTCTAAAGAGCATAAAAAGCTTTCAAAATTACATTAGGGAAGTATTATTAGTATATTGCTTTCTTAATGACAGTTATTATCAGTTTATTGTATTTTTCTTGTTATAACTATTATAGTTGTATAGTGTTTATCAGAAAAGAAGACAATTAACTTTGAAGTGTGACAGCAGTGTAAAGCAAGCGTAGTAGACGTAAAACGCATGCTCGCTCCTTAGATAAGCAATACTCGCACAAACCATCCCTACTCAAATTAGTAGCTGTTTCCTACTTGCTAATGATACAACTCTGTCTGCGTAATTAAAAGACAATCTGAATAATTGCAATAAAAAAGGCTTAATTATAAATGAATGGATTAGTCTAGACAGTTTTTCGTCATTGTTATTTATTTATTTATTTTTTTTTTTTTCAACGAACTTTGCCAAATTTTAGTTTTGTTAAGTAACTTTTCATAAAATTGTTAAATAATTTAAATTTATTATACATATTGTCGTCACATATATTATCTAGTTTCCTCTAGGTGTGTCAGAATTTGTAGTAATTAATTTCGAAACTTGTCGCAACTATAAATAATACATATCTTGTGACATTTAACGGACCTTTTCTTCACCTCTTAAATATTGTTTTAAAATGTATGATATTGCGATTTTTGACTTATGGCATGCAATCAAAAAGGTGTGAGGAATTTCGTTCAAAGACAGTACATGTCACAAAATATGTAAAATCAGCTGGGCACACTATCTAGTAGTTAAAAGCTATACTTTCTTTATGAGATGTCTGTTTCATGTAAAAAGAACACATATCGTAGACTGCATAGACTGTTAAAAATCTTTACAAATCTTGACATTGTTCTTTACTTGTCACAAAATTCCACAACAACATATCCAACTGTTTTTCTTTAACATGCCTATAATAGTAGTTCATGCTATAAGAACGAAAAGTTGAGTTTTTCGGACGACTACGAGAAGCTTGCCAGGCGAGACGTAGTTTCACACATTGTTTTTTATTCGAATGTGCTTAGTTATTAAAAAATATATAGAAAATTAAATCTGAAATGATATTATTTCCAATAATTTTTCCTTAACTAAGTTGGCTATGAGAACAATTGAACAAATTCTGTCGTGTCACTGTGCTCATGTCAAATTAATTTAATTACCTAATTTATTAAAAATAAATTTAAAAAATTAGTTGTGACGAAGAATTAATTACGGGCACGCCCCCAGAAATTAGAAAAGCGGCAATTTTGGCGTCTTTGAATTTGATTCAAAAAAAAAAAAATGGTATATGAAAGAATCTACCTCAGATTCTAATCGGTATGCAACACCTTATACACTAAATTTTATAGGCTATGGCTGATAAAGTATTTTACGAAGTATATACAAATTTACAAAAGTTCTACTTTTTTTTCCAAAAAGTTTTTTGACACATTCGAATAAAAAAGATATTTTTATTTCATAATGCTAGAAATACATAGATAACTGAATGTAAAAAGTAATTTAAATGGACGATTGCTTTCGAGAGCATACTAAGACTGGTGACGTTTTAGAGAATTCTAAAACAACATTTTGGATAAGTTTTTTTTAAGTCTTCGTTTGTTTTATTTTGATATGTTTTGTAAACTTTAACAATCTTAAACATTATCAGAAGAGTGGCATTGTTTCTAGCATTTGATTCGTATTATTTTCTTTATTTAAATATCAGTTATTTAAATGGGAGAATAAGGTAATATGGGAAATAAAATACATATGGCCGACCCGCCTAAAGGTCTAATTTATTTACAAATCTTCTACATTATTTAAATGGCAGAAACGAGATAAGGAACTTTAAAAAATAAAAAAAAAAACTGTTGGATAACTAAATACGAGTATACAGTTTTAAATTAAATGCTATTTTTTTTTTCTTGTTTTTATTCATTATCTCATCCAAATGAAGAGGGTAAAGGACTATTTATATCTGCATTGTGGAAGTGCCATAAATGAAAGAAAATGTTTTGAAAGTGACATGTATGCGCTATTTATACAGTGAGAGCCTAACATGCGATTACTTACTGGTGCATAAGTGCAATCGAATGGGGATCATAGTGGGCGTGTCCTAAACGGCTACCTTCTTCTTCTGTCTCACTCTCTGTTCCGCTGGGTCGGCCCCTAGACACCAAGCTAAGCACATGCACTACACTGTCTAGCTAAAGTTCTGATATCGTCTTGATGAAACAACTAATTCTGATTCTTTTTTTATGCTTTATTATGTTTGCACTTACTTATGTTTACAAGAAATTTATGAAAAATATTGGCAATTTGTATGCATGAAATATTGTTTTTTTTTTTTGTTTAAATTTAGCCCTAAATTTAATTTATTGGTTTTCAAATACTATTACAATTGAATAAAATATGTACGATATTTTAACATTTTAATTATTACTGTTTTACTGTTTCTATTTCTTAAAATAAACAGAAGTAGTCATTTCATCATTTCCAATTTTAAATAATTTAAAATATTTAAATTTTGATTATATGCAATATAAAATTTAAAAATTAATTATAAGAATATTTATATGAAAAAAACATTAGCATTATTAATGGATACAATTTCAAAAATGAAAAAATTACATGCTATTTTTAATAAACATATTGTGCAAAAGGTGAAAAATAAGGTTTTATTAAATTTATAAGCCAAAAAAAGTAAAAACAAAGAAAATATTAACAGAAATACACATGGAAATACTTACATAGGTAAGGTGGGTTGAGCACCTGCCAAAGCAGGCTCCGGCGCTAAATCTCTGACGGCGATAATAGATGGTGTTGAAATAGATTTTTGCAAAGGCAGCCTCGTCGGCAGAAGACGTTGTTCGGCTTCTCGTTTTGCTTTGAGCTTGTTAAAATCATTCTGAAACGTATAATAGAAAATGATTACTAGAATGCGGAACACTATAAGTTTTAAATTAAACAGTAACGTGATTGAAAATTGAAATTATGCTATTTTCTTATAATAAACAATCTGCTTATTGTTTTACTAATCAGAGGCATATTTCTCCATATCCCTCATACATCCATCCTTCACCGCACAAGAACAACAAAATTTCGCATTTTCTATAATCAGTAAAACAGGAACGAAACTAAGTCACATAAGATAGAAAATAACACAAGAATCTAGCAAAGCAGATTGATAACACTTCTGCCATTACGCAAGTGTAGCTACATTGACAATAAAACGAATGTATTGAAAACGTTGGTATCCATGGTTCAAGGGAAGAAGAGACGATGAGAGTATAAAAAATATTAATTTAATGATACACATATTATTTACATTATTTTATTTACCCAAGTAAAAACGCATACCTACTCACGTAACAAACACATATTAAGCTAAACTGGAAATAAGAAATAAAATGCATTTGGAGCACAAAATGTTTTTGTTTGGCCTTTCTTTTGCAAAAGGAAAAAATGATTCAATATTAGGTATATTTCTACAGCGGTTCAGAACCGTTCTGAATTTGTATGACGATTTTTTGGATATTTAAAGTGACTGTTGGAGGAAATCTATTAATATTTGCCTAAAGTATGTTCATTTCACTTGTACCTTGTACCACATTGCACCTAGAAAGTAGATCTGTCTCTGTTTTTATATTATTATTATTATTATTGCAGGACAAACTAATTGTGATTTGTGGTGTTCAGCTAACTAAGAACAACCACTAAGTAAATCGAATTGCAAACATTCTCGGTGTCATCCACGTAGTTATCAAATTATTATGAGAGTGTAAGTGTGGCAGTAGTGTAAGGCAAGCGCGTCGTAGCTTTAATTACTGATTCGTTCATAAAACGTGTGCTGGCACCTCAGATAAACAAACTCGCGCAAACCCTCTCCACTCAAATTGATAGCCATCTCGCTCTTTATAATGTGGTAGCCGATACGACAGCTCTGACTGCCTGATTCAAAACACAAAATAAATGCTTACAATAAAAAATGGCTTAATTATGAATGAATTTATTAGTCTAGTAGTTTGTCGGCATTGTGTTCAGCAAACGAACATCAGAAAATTGTTGCCAATTGTTCCTGCTAGACTCAGTGACCCCTTCATCCATATATTGGGCCTAAGTCACAATCCCCTTAGATATATCAGTCCCTGCATGTTGTTTCCGCCTTGGGAACTATTATTACAATTTATTTGGTAAAATATAGAATCACCTATTTTAATGTTATTTGTAGTTGAGTAATTAAATAAAACAATTAACATTTATATAAAATTTTAACCATAGGTATACAATAAAAATATGTATTTGAAAAAGCGATACTGAAATTCTTTAACATACATTTTGTACTAAAAAGCTTTTAAATTACATTGATTTTAGAATTAACTATTTATTGTAATTAAAATGCTTTTTAATAGCTGTTAATGTAAAAGTACATAATTGTAAGACTTTACTGAAAGAGTCGATTTTTTATGACTCTGAACGAGCTTGCGAACAATAAAGTCAAATTATGGATGAATTGAATACTAAGCTTTATTTCTTGATTATACCATATATTACAGGAATACCTATTCCATGTTTTTATGGTTCTAACACCTTTCATTACGAATTTTCTGTTTTTGATCTTCTCAGGTTGTAGGTGTTTAAATTAAAATAAAACTACAATTTGTCCATAGTAACGTTGTAAAGTTTTCGGTGTTTGTATGTTCCTTCTTCAGTACTTTTATTATTATTATTATTTAATATGTCATTAAGTATTAATATCTTTTTATATATTATTAAATTATGTTTTCAACATTTTATTTTTCGTGTGATTCTACCATGTGCAGCAAAAATAAAATATTGAAAAACCAATTTAAATTCCTGTCACCAACCTGATGAGGGTCCACAAATGTAAAAAAATATATACAAAAAAAAACAATGTTGCATGCATGCATAGACAAAACCCAATTTACAAAATTGTTTTATCTACCTGATTATCTTTAATGAAATGTATGGTTACAGCATTGTATTTAGATAGCCTAGTAGAACAACCTTACGGACATTTCATTGCAGGTAATCCTGTCCTGACATCTGTTGGAACAAGTACTGAAGTTGGCCCGTGCGCTAGCGCCCCTCGATCATTGAATATAATCTTTTAAATATATAAGGTTTTCTTTATTTTTAAATTCATTTGGATAGATTGCAAAATTAAAATTAATATTGTTATAGTCTCTAAAATGATTATAAATCGTAAATAAATTTACATCAAAAATAATAAAACTCGTATATCTCATTTTTAAAACTAATATTCTGTTTATACTTAATCGACTATCGGTCCATCTATTAGCAAAGAGAGAAATTACTTTCGCTATTTATGTTTCGATAATCGTTCGATGATTCGGTAGAAGACGACAACATTATCAAAGACATGGCTTGGACACGACGGAGCTTGCTGTCATCTATTGCTACTGTTTATCGTCCTTATACAATGGTTACCCGCTTTTCGTCATGCAAAGAGATAAACAATATTAACATTAAATGTTAGTTATATATACAAAAAATAATTCTAAATAATACATAATACATTTATAATAAAATACTTAATGAATTAATATGTACTAATATTAAAAGTACTGAAGAAAGAAAGAACCGAAAGCTTTAAGCTTAATTTATAAGCGTCGTAATATAACTTAAGAACTTAACGTAAGAAATTGAAATATTGGATTTGCATACAATTATTTATAAATGTTCGTAACGTAATTTAAGAACTTAACGTATCGTAGAAAGTTCACCAACTTTTATTAATTTAACAACTTAAGACGTTACTTTTTTATGGACATACATTCTCATGAATGTTAACTTTTGATTGTTTTGTGTTTATGTTATTGGTAATAAAATATGAGATATGAGTGTTTATATATGTCTAGGATTAAAACAAGACACAAAACTATTTTGCTAGGGAAGATTAATTATAATTATTGCTCAAAAACAATGAATATCGTCTGTTTTATTACATTTTTATATTATTGCTTGTAAAATAGTTAATATATTCTTTCTATATAGCAAAATATAATATATGGGTTTTATTTAGAGGTTAAGTGCACTTGTTTATTTCATAAGGCTGTCTATAATTTTATAATCTCTAAAATACAATAGGCATGCTTAACTCATATATTACAGAAATTTATAAATACACTTTAGTTAAACTGTAGTTTTATTTTAATTTCAAACACCTGCAATCCAAGAAGACCAAAAACAAAAAATACCAAGCTTATGTAAGCATAAAACGTATACGAGGGCGGGCCCAAAAGAACCGAATTATTTAATGAGAAGTTGATCAATCGTAGTACAAATAGTATTTCTTCCGTTCATGTTCATGAAAAAATGCCGTGGAAACTATTGATTGATGACCAATCTTGTGTAGTTCGTCCTTCAGCTAGCTTAGAGGTCGTCAAACTCATTAGTCAATAGATCCAAATAGCAAAAGTACAAGGACTGAAATTTCTTTTGCGAGCAAATTTTTTTAAACTTACACTACATATAGGTAGGTACATTGTTATTAACTTAATTAGGGTATTCCTAAGCGTCTTGTAAACTTGTTTCGTCTATCTTCTTTCGTTTATCCTCTACATATCCATACCATCTCAACATACCTTTCTCAATATTTGAAACTACATTTTCTTTCACTCTACAACGCTTCTTTAAAATTAACTTATAGGTGCGTAGAATAAAACTTATTATATTTAAAAGTGTGGTTTTAAAATAGCAAATGACAATATCATAATTTCAACAGGTCTGGTAAGTAAATCAAAATGGAACCTTGGAGGGAAGGCAAAATGCTTCGGCCAGAGGCAGATGAAATTACTAACTGCAGGGCTACATATTATGACTAACATTCTAGTCTATTCTGTGAAGATACGCTCAGAAGTAATATTTTGTACGATTACCGTTGATATTTCATCTTTAAGGAAAAGTTTTCTCAATAAGTCGTTTCACAGCATTCGTCTAAAGATAAAGACACATAAACACCAACTAGGTATAAAAGTAGAAATAAGAAAAGCAGTCATCACGAAGTTTCAATCACACAGTGTGTACGAGCCAGTATAGCGCAAGTAGAAGTTGGAAAGGCTTTTGGTAGGTAGAGAGGGGGTAAACGTCAAACCACGTCGAACGGCTTCGAGAATTTCGCAATAATGTTTACGTGCCAGTGTCGTTTCATAGAATAAGTAATTTTAAATTGTTACCGGCGGCACTGGACAATCACATGTATTTATGGACTATAAATAATTATTAAACATGTATTATAATATTTAAATCGTAATTTTACAAAATTTCAACAGCTATTCACAATTTATTATACTATTTACTCGAAATTGTTATTAACATCTATAAAATAATTTTGTACGCCAATGTATCGCGTCCACTTCGGTGAGATCCGCTGCAAACCTGCCAATTTATGTGTATAAAGTGGGAGAACTGTCAAAAGCCTTTCCAACTTCTACTTGTGCTATACGTTGTAGTTTGTAGATGAGCCACACTCACGGGGCAAAAGAGCCGCCGTTTTGCTAACCACTGTGCTAGCAAAAAAAAAGCAGTCAGAATTTGGACTGGGGCATGTCTTGGAATTCCTGTAAGATAATTTTATCACAGGATTTGGATATATATCGATTTGCTTTAAAACCAAAAAAGGGAATCCTTTTAAAGTAAAGATGTAGTCCAGCCATACTCAACCTTTTTTCCTTCGGGCCATATTCGTATATGTGCTATGTTACACGGGCCGCAATATTTTTGGATGATGACCTTTTTTTAGGCCATCTATCTAAAATTAGTTAGTGAGGACCTCTAATAAATAAAACACAAAACATAAATATATCCCCTTGTGTTACTGCAAAAACAAGATAACTCATATTTTTAGAGTTTCGATAAAACACTATTCAAACGTTTAAAACTGAATAAAAAATCAGTAAAAGCTTCAAACCGTTTATTAACTTCAATGAAGAAGGTATTGAAAACATTGTTCACAAAGTATAAACTAATAATCTATCAATAATTGGTAAAAAAAGAGAGAGAAAACGTCACTTAGCTTATTTTAGCTCTACATATAAATCATAATTCAATGTATGTGTCACTATCTTCAGTCGAAGTTTTAGTAACATTATTGGATACAGGTAGATTGTGATAATAATGGTGAAATTCATCAGGTGTATCTGATCTTGCAAAATTTTAGTAAACCTTTCTTCTTGCACTTTTTTGTAAGTATTTTCAAAACTTTGTTTCATCCTTTCATGCATCCCTCTGAATAAATAATGTGCGAGTTTGGCATATAAAACCGAATTCCACCTTCGCCCATTGATAAATTAAATCTATTTTTCTGGTGGAATGTAGCTGAATCTTCCAATACGTTGTATATTAGAAAATATGGTTACCAATAATACTTTTATTTACGAATTTTCACATAAATATTCGCTCGTTACGGCTTAGCGAATCACTCGTTACAGTTTGACCAATCACCGATTACATCTACACCAATCATTCATCCACCACGGAAATTCGAACATCACATGTTATTATCTAGTGGTTGATTAAGGTTAGCTGTATCGCGGAAAGAAAGGATGACGTAATCATCTTGTGGATTTTGGAACAATCGAGGAAGGCCAGAGACGGCTCTAGTCATAACAAAACAAATGGCGTGGGCACAATGTTGTAATATTTCAACAAACACATTTCAACAAAAATAAGTAGCGGCAAACCACTCCCGAAATACTGGTACGTTTTCACTCAAAATCACCGAAATCAATACACATTTTCTCTAAAATTCCAAAATCATCATCTAAAATCATGGTCGAAATCAATTCGTCGCCCACAACCGGAAATGGCGAGAAAAAAGATCATCGTATAAAATTAAGGTGGATTTTCAGTGAAATCACCTAAATTACACAAAAATTTTTTATGTAACTTACGAAATACAGGTACGTTTTGACCTTATTGATTTCTCCTCTGTTCTGGCCTTTATCTTGTTTTGGCAGGAACACTATTAAGAATCGGACTAAATATATTTAGCAAAAATAAATTATACCTATGCCTATTATCTGGTTTTGGTAGACACACTTATCAATTGAACACAATGATTATGTTTTTGTATAAATGCCACTCCATCTTGTTTGTCCATATTGTTAATGTATTAACATAGAGTTAGTTTTTATTGGCTATCTATTTATCATGAATATAGACTTCTTTCACACTTGTAGAAAGTGTACCTACTTAACTCGAAAATTCCAAAAGTGGAGCTATCTTGTTTTTGCAAAATTCCAAACGTTTTTTTAAAAATTAGCATGCTATTTGACACTGCGACTAATAATAGTGTTGCGGGCCACAAAAAAAGCTTGGAGGGCCGCATGCTGCCCGCATGTTGAGTATGGCTGATATAGACCAATATATACCATAAAAGGAATGAAAATGCGACTACAAACTTAAAATACTGTTTTGAATAATGAAAAAAACGGAAAGTACTGTAAGTGAATGAAAAATTTCGTTTTTTGAGTCTCCCTCGTATTTCGAGTAAAATTAATTTGAAATATTTGTTGAGAAACTAGTTTTTAATCTCGGTACTTTTGTAAAGAACGATATAATTACCTATAATGTTGTCAGTCGCCTTCATAAAAACTAGAAACATTTTCTATGAAATGGGTACAACAACTAAAAGCGTAATCATTAAAAAAATTTAACAAGTTTAATAAAATTTTGTAATGAAAAATATTAATATTAAGGAACATTATGTTATGATAAATGTAAAAATTAAATTTACTAACTAGGAAAACATTTTTTTAAATATTCAAAACTATGACTGTAACATTTTTAAAAGGTAACAATCTAGCAAATATTAGATTTGTCTTTGTATCCCGTGATTAAATTGTATGTTAATAAGGAAAAACTTTTATTAAGCAGTATTAAATCATATCTGATGTTCACTTTTAATATTTTTTGGATTGTTTTTTTCGCCAATTATTAACTAGAAATTATATATACCTACACATCCTTTTCATTATTTTATGGTTTAGTTAAACATAAAAATATATAATATTTGAAAAGTATTTATCTATTTAAACATTTTTTTTTGTTTACCTGAAGGTCTGCCTCATTCAAAGAATGCGTACTGGCTCCACCGTTTGTGCCTCTTGAACCGCGATGCCTGATAACAACTGGAGCTTCGGGTCCTAACAACCTCACAGTGCTGCCATCTACATTGTCAACTAGAGAAGATTCATCTGCTTCTGATTCCATACTGCTCAGAGAAATACTTGAACGAAAATATTTTATTTTTTATAATTAGTTTTAAGTATTATATTGTTTTATATAATCATCAATTAGTTTTTATAGAGGAAGCATTCATAAAACGTACCAAAACTAACGTACTTTTTATTTAAAATTTATTTAGAATAGATTGTTAGTCGTATAGTTATTGCATAAACAGAATACAATGACTTACTGCGTTTGGTAAAGGCTAGACTACGATGATATACAAAATTAAACATTTTGCAACACAAAATAGTGGAAACGATTGAATAAAGTTTGGTTTACTGCTATTGTTACTGATAATAAAAACTGAGAAAATAGAGCAGATGCCCTTTAAATAAAGCTATAACAAATCCAGACGTTTCCATAAAGACACATGCAACTTTTTTAGTATTGCTTTAATAGAGTTAAAGTTCTTTTATGGGTTGACAATATCTTTTATTCACTAGATCAAAGCTAGAATATTAAAATTTTTATTTTAATATCAAACCTAAGAATTTCTCTCTATTTTTAGTTACGGAAATAAAGGAGATACAATCAAAACATGTAAATCGGAGATCTTCATGCAAGTTGAATATTTTGACAGTAATATTTCATAAGAACCTTGTTATTTAAAAGATTAAGATTCTCCACCGAGAACTGTTTTCAAATAATATAATTTTTGGATGTAACTTAATGATTTGGGAGTTACTAATAAATTAAAGTGCAGATACAAAAAATACATTTAAAAAGAGTTGTGAGAACCACATGCACCACTAAACAAATACTTCCAAGGCTATATGTCCCTTTGAACATTGAGTGAAGGTGGCGAAAGCAATTGTAAGATTGTAAATGGTTCCTACAGTTTCTAAACTAGAGATATTGCATGAATTTTTTCCTACTTCTTGATTATGCCCCAAATCTGGAAGCAGATCGTAAACTAACTAGCTTCTTAAATAGTAAATCAAAGTGTTGGTTGTGATACAGGGACAAAACTACTCCGATAGCTTTAAAAAAAAAATATGAATATGTCACGTTTCCCTTAGGCATCTTAATTGGACTGATTTTATTTTACGTAAATAAAATAACGCAATGATATTTTAAGAACGACGTTTTTCACCTAGATATTATGGCGAAGGGAACAGTCGATAAAAAAAATAAAAACTTCGGTTGAAACACAAAAAAGCTGCAAGAAATCTCAAGAGAATTAAACCGTTAGAGTTGGTATTGTGTAATTACCAAGGACTTATAACGAGAGAAAGAGAGACCATTTTACATGAATTAACATTTTGAAGCAAATTTATAATAGAGACAAACATAATAAAAAGTTTTTTTTTCGATTTATGGCCTAGGTGTATTTACCTAATATGCCAGTCTCAATTTTGTGTTTGAATTCTTAATCATGTGTGTTCTGTGTAGGCTTTGTTACTGTTTCTCAGCGCCACTTCAGGAACAGCACTGTTAATTAGAACCCAACAGGGGAATTCTACCTATGCATTAGAATTAATATTTAATTTTTTTTTTTTTAAATATTCTTCCACCGGTGGGATTCGAACCTGAGACCTTTCTATTTCAAAGTCATGGCTCTAACCACTCAGCCAACCCACTTCCCTAATAAAAAGTTACGTGTTCATATTATGATCATGAAGAAAATGCACTAATTTTAATTATCACTATTTGTAGTTATAAAGTTTTCAAAAATTCTGCTACTAAAAAGTAATATGAAATAAAATTTGGTTTACCTTCTTTGACGAGTTTGCTTGATTTTCTCTTTGTTGCCAGTTAAATCTTCTAGAGCAGTCCATGATCGCCGTCTTTGAGGCTCTGGTTGGCATAACCAATCTTGCGCAGCTGAAGAGAAATAAACATGTTTAACACAATGATTGTCTTAAACATTGAGACGAAATGGGTTTTCAAATAAAAAAAAAATATAATATTAATCAATTAATCCCAATATCAAAAGGATCCTCAAACACTCATATTAAATTCTAATGTAGGAAATTTTGATTATCCATAAAGAAAAAACACAAGACAAAAACAATGTTTGTTTGGGGCATATCGTGATATTTTAAACAAAGTGTGAACCGTTTCTGTGATAAGTAATATTCAAATAAATGGGGTTATGTTCCCTTAATCATTATAAAATTAAATATACGTTAATATTTTTTTAAGACCGACCAGACAGTATACACTTTCTGAACAATTTTTCGTCCAGAAAGTAACGTTTTGACGATTAAAACCGGAAAGTAGACGTTAGGGATCGATAAAAGCTGTACCGGTCCCTCTTTTTCAATGTTTTATATTATTATGATTTCGTTACTATGGTAACTTCCGATTTATTGCCGAGTGACAGTTCGTTGATTTTTAATTTGTTGTTTATGTCAAACTTGTTTTCGCAAATTTAAAATATGAATTTCAATTTTGAATTATTTGACCTAGAAAATGAAATTCCAGAAGAAATTTTGGAAGCGGCAAAAATGTACATTTAACTAAATATTCAAAAATAATGTATTTGGTTAGCTTATGCAATTGTATCCATTAACCAGTTTTAGAATTTGTTAATCACTTTAATAAATAAAATAAATAATTAAGTTTACATCGAAGTGTCGGTCTTAAAAAAAATATTCTAGGTGACGCGACCGAAAATTAGTGTTAAGCAGGTCTCTCCAAGCCTCCAGGTCTCGCCCACGGCTCGCCCTGGAATGTGCTTGTCTCGACCTGCAAAATACTACTTTCCGGTCTTGTAACGTAAATTACTATTCTGAAAAACCTTTATTAAATCTATAGAAGATAGAAATATGTGAACAATGTCAACTTACCGATATTTATAAATAGAAGTAATTAAATAACAGTCGGTGAAATATCGCCCAACTTTATTTAAGTTCATCTGTAACTTTGTGAATCAGGCTGAATGTGAGCAACTATTATCTTAAATTGCGAAAATGTTTTAGAAAAAAGTTACAGGAATTTTAGAGATTATGAAAACAAATCCCCAATTCCCCCTATGAAATTATGAAAATTACACCCTCATATCCCCAAAGTGAAAATCAAAGCAAAACTGAAAAAGCTGAGAATTAAAGAAAGAAAAAATGCATGCGAGATCGAGAGTCGGATCCGGAACCTTGGAGCTGAACCGTCCGTACTTTGCCAATTGAGATACCAGCACATACGCTTTGGTATCCGAATTCGCAAATATGAAGTCAAACAGACTCCGACTCTTGTCGGTACACACAAATTCTTATCCCATCTCAGCTCCTTCAATTCTTCTTAAAGCCACCCCTTTGACAATCGTGTAGCAGGACGATAATTTATATAATTATACTAAAACAAATTTCTAAGATCTTTCATTTGTTCAACAGTGTTAAGTTTTTGACTACGGTACGCCGTAAACGTGAAAATATAATTAAAAGTGAAGTGAGAAAAATGGGTTGATATTCGAAAACTAAATGGAATTTTGGAAATTATGAAAATGAAAAATGCCTAATTTCCCCTGCAAAATTATGAAAATTGCACCTTCATATCCCCAAAATGATAACAAACCACAGAAAAATTACAAAAGCTGAGAATTAAAGAAAAAATAAGTGCATCGGCCGAGAGTCGAACCCGAAACCTCGGACAGCCGTCCGTACTCTGCCAATTAAGCTATCAAAGCACATACGCTTTATTCGAATTCGCAAAACTGAAACAATCAGACTCCGACTCTCGTACGTACACACAAATTATCATCCCATCTCAGCTCCCTTAATTCTCAAATCCACCCCTCTGACATCGTGTAGAAAGACGATAAATTATATAATAATAAGTTTTTTTTTTTAATTCCGCGACGGTTTCAACTTATGACAAAAAAATGTGAAAAAATACTGAATAGCATATTTTGTAACAAGGTTGTGGTTCTTCACGCTAGCATACGCTCCCGTCCAGAATCTTTCATTCGTATTAAATTTTCATTCCAACAGAGTAACAGACTGTACTTTCTCCATGGCCACAGATACAGTACGAGTTGAATATAGTAAAATAAAACTTAGCAAAATGAAATATTTAACTTATGTTAGGAAAGTTTTTACTTAAATCGTTTGCATAATTTGTCAGTTTAGGAGGAGTATTATCCAATTCCATGTGAAAATCATTATATTCATCCATTTTTGAATTTAAGTTCGACTCAACAACCGCCGCTTTTCTCTATTCAGGCAAATTCAAACTAAATAATAATAAACGAAAATAAACCAAAACTCAAATGTGATAGATGTAAAATGAAATAAAATGAATTTAGCTCAAAGCCAGAATATCACATAAAATACAACGACCGTTTCCCCTTCAAAAAAACAACTACTCCTTTGGCTAATACCACAACAAAGCAAAATCAAAAAGCGCTGTGGTACCTAGTTAGAAAACTAGGTGGAACCAAAAAGTACCAAGCGGGCAATTTGTAAACAAAAATAAACCAAAACTCAAATGTGATTTTTTTTTGAAGGGGAAACGATCGTTTTGCTTACTAAGAACAGATGGCGACACCATTTTCACTACTTGAATTTTTATTCTCTTCATAACCAACTTTATGGTATACTGGTGAAATGTGTAGCATTTGTTAATTCCATTAGAGACTGGAATTGAGAACCTATCTATTTCTTGCTGAGGAGTCCTAATAAGGACGAAACCGGTCCAAGAATGATGTTCTCCTTGGTGAGCAAAATCAAAGTAGAGAGTGTTGAAAATTAATTTCTATCTCTGCTGTTTTTCCTTCGGATGTAATTCAATGCCTGTTGTGGTATTAGCCAAAGGAGTAGTTATTTTTTTGAAGGGGAAACGGTCGTTGTATTTTATGTGATATTCTGGCTTTGAGATAAATTCATTTTATTTCATAAATAATAATACGTCACGTAGAACTGTCAATCATGAAATTCATGGCTATCTAGAATGAGGGCGTGATAGTCACAGCCATTGGCAAGTCAGCTGAGGTTAGTAGTTATTACTTTTGAACATTATGCCATTAGAAATACTTGTAAAATACATAAGAGGCAAGAGTTTCAGAATTTTCTTTCAATCTCAAAAGGGAAATATTTTCTTTGTGTTATTATAAGTGGTTTCGGAAGAACTGCATTTAGTAGTGGCCGAGGAGAAAATGTAATCATGACAAATATTATTAAAAAAACTTTATTATTGACAGCTAAATTAACATAATTGGCAAATAAAAAGATAAGAGTCGACTGAAACGTCTGAGAGGATCAAAAGTTTATTTTTATTTACAGGCGATTTTATACAGGGGCACCAACGTGCTAATTTTTAAACATCTATAACTTCGTTTTTTCAAATTGAACAACCAATATTTTACATTTTACTATTTGATATTCGTTATTACAATGTAGGTCCTAAAAGTGACTGTGATTGATTTTTTTTATTTTTATTGATAAATTAAAAATAATAGAGATAAAAACAGAATTTTCACACATTTATGGGTCACCCTGTACATATATTAAGAAATTTAAAAACGAGTTAAATCCTTCAATGCATGACTTTAATCCTTTTAAAAAAATAATTAAAGTGTTTCTTTCACTGTGTTTCTTCCAAGAGTTTTTGACGAGTCTATAAATTTATTGCCGAAAGGAGACGCATGATCACTTGCAAGTTGTCGTATATCTTGCTTTACGGCCGTGTGCCTTTCAGTATATTCAGAATTGCGAGGAATGGGATTTGCTTTGCATTGAACTATTTCACAATTTACGGAAATAGGTACATATGCCACATTTTAGTATCGGATTCTCTGAAAAAGGTAATATCTTTCTTACATTATTAAGCATCCTTTTATGATACATTTAAAAGTGTACATTACTGATGATAAAATGTAACTACTCAAACTTATTAACGCACGTATTATTTCAATATAAATAAAATATGATTCTTGAGAGAAAAAAAAACAAAAATGCCTTATATTATTAGTTTTTTTTTAATGCACGAAGGTTATTTAAAATAGGTATTATGCAGTTTTTTTATATTGAAAACGCAATATGGCTAGCACGCACTTGACTTGCATGTGATAATTAAAGAAATAGGGGAGAGAAGGAAGTACATTGGTGGAATAAGAAGAAAAAGGGCACAGAGAGGCAAACATGAATTGCACTTTAACATAGGTGTGCATCAAGTGCCGTGTGGAGCGGGCGGACAGAATAGCGGCACCCTACCCGGGCGCATATTCGTAAACCGCCGACACGTTAGGATCTCGGAAAAGTTCGATGCCGCGAATGACAAACTCGTAAAATTCCGACGTGTTAGAACTAATACGTCGGCGATTTATGAAACAAGAAATAAGAAACGTTTGTTTACTGGAGATTAATCATCATTCATCAAAGACAATTTTAGTTTTGTTTCCTTTTTCTATTATCCATAGTCTGAATAAAATTCCATACGAATACTTTGCAAAATAAGTTTCTATAATAATTATAAGGTCACGACATATATACGCACTTCGTAGATTAAATTTTGAATTAAAAGTTATATTATTTACAAAAAATAAAAATAAACCTTATGCTTCTGACAAAATTGTTGCACATTAACATTGAACGAATTAAATTTAACCAACAAATAACAAGAAGGATTATATGTTGTTAATGGGATTAAACTCTTTTTAATTTCTTGGCATTAAAAGTAACACTTCAGTATCTAAAATCAAAGGTATATTATTATAGGGTCTACTTTCCAAAATGAATTTTCCACCTTTTTAACATGGTCAATGCATTTTCTAAACTGTTTTCCATTTACCCCTGAAACTGCATTCAAAAACAAATTTCGCACATAAGGTAATTAAAAATAAAGTTACGAAAACACCCCATTCGTTGGCGACGTGTGTTAAAAATAATGTGGGATTAGGAAGAATTAATTAAAAAAAATAAACTTAGGTCCATTAAATTTTCGGTAATCGTGCTATTTACTTCGCCGCGTTATCAATTTCTTTTTTGAATTTTGGTGACAAGGAAAGTCGGTGTTTCACGAAAAAAATACGTCAAAATATTCTACCATTATAAAATATTTTTGTGAATTTCCAAACATTTGCCTTGCCCTCAAAATTATACTTCGTTATTCTAGTGAACACAAGGATGGCGCATGCGTAATCCACGACAACGTAAACTGCAGGTTTAGCACATTTCTTTTTACTTAAAAATAAAAGTTAATTTAAAATTTTAAAAATATATATGCGACAATAATTTCTAATGTATTTACTTTTGTTAAATGTACAACTGACCTTTTTAAATTTGAATTACCAAATTTTCCTAATTATATGCGGTATTAAACTACTCGTATTCTAATAGTATCTAATTGGACATCAATGCATAGATAACTCGTATTCGTAAATCACCGACGTAGTGGTCTAACACGTCGAGATTTTACGAGGCTGTTATTCTCGATACCGAACTGATCCGAGTTTCTAATATGTCGGCGATTTCCGAATATGCTACCCGGGCATTTACCATCGAGGTGGCAGAAACCCACCAAATGGCCACTTTCAAAAATATTGGAATCTAGAGACACCTTTCGGCAACGTTATTAACCTGCAGGATTTTGATCTGAGAGGCAGAACTTTAATGAGCTGGGAGGTTGGGTGTCTCTTTGACATCTCTAAGTGACAACCAGCAGGTTTTTGACTAGTTGAAAGCCTGCAGGACAATGATACGCTGAGAGGATGGCTGTCTCTAGACACCTCTCAGCGACAAACACCTTACAGATACAGACAGATGTGCATCAAGGTTCAGTCTTAAATTCCTTTCCTTTTTGTTTGGTATAAGATAAAATTACGGCAGGGAGAATCCCATAGAGTTTAATGCATGCAAATTATATGGTACTGCTTGGCAATTCTGCAAGAGACAAATGTCAGTGTAGAAAGAAACAAGTTGAATAATTAATAGAGAAAATAGAGATAGATAATTTTTTCTTAATAGAGAAAATAGAGATAGATAACTATCTACACTGACGGTTCTAAAACAAAAACAAAGCTCAGGATGTAGAATATACTCCAGATCCCTTAAACCTTAACATAAAATGGATTGTGAGCAATAGGCCAGTTAGTTCAAACAGAGCTCACGGAGATTCTCATAGCAGCAAAAGAAATCACCAGAAACAATATCACTGGAAGGAACATGCTCATCTATATAAATAGCAGACAAGCACTACTCACCCTGAACAGACCACGCATTTATTCAGGGTTGGTTAGTACTAGAATGTCACGAAATTCTGGCCGAAGTATCCATCAACAACGTGGTAACCTTAAAATGGATCAAAGGTCACGCCACATCGAAAGGTAACCGTCTTGCCGATTCACTGGCCAAGAAAGCAGCCAACCAAATACTTTTTGGACCTGGCCCTTCCATTAACCTGACAAAATCGGTAGTGACAGACCTAATTAAAGAACATTCCCTTGTGAAATTCAGGGAAAGATGGGATGAAACAAGAAACTGCAGAGTTGCCAGGGAGCTTTTAAGTTATCCTGACAACACTGCAGCAAACAAATATTTGACTATGACTAGACAGAATCTGTGCCTAGTCACAGGCATTCTGACTGGTCATTGCCAAGTAAGGACGCATCTTCATATCATGGGGCTGTCAGAATCCGCACTCTGCAGAGGGTGTGAACAAGAAGATGAGACCATCGAGCATATCCTCTACGATTGCTCGACACTCTCATTTATTAGAATATTTGGGTTCGGCGAGTATCGGCTAACACCGGCCGATATAATAGAAGCACCTCTTGGCGACGTTGTCAACTACATCAAATCTGTAGGCTGGCTCACGAGCTAGGAGGTGCCTATCATCTTAGGAGGATGCACAATGGACCTAGTGAGGCCTAAGTGCCATGGGGGGGGGTAACCCACCCTCCACACGTTACAGATTAGAGATAGATAATGTAGGTTTGGTAATAGGAGGCTCATTCATATAACATTGATTCTACACACTCCACACCGCTCTTATCGTTTATCACAACTCTAATAATATAAACACATCCTCATTTCGCCTATGTCTTCCGAAAAGGTTTTGTCATTTCCTAGTTAGGGTTTCATATTCGAAGGTGATGTAGTATGTAGGTTTCTTCGTCTTCCACTACACGTAAAGGATCAGTTGTACATTATAACTCGAGTTTTCAACAAGCAGCATCCCGTGAGAGAACTAATTTGTCTATTAAGTTTAATTACTATTTACATAACAAGTTGTTGTTATACTTGAATATTAATTATTAATATTTCTAATTAATCTTTACGGAGAACTTGTAGTGTCAAAGTAAATTTGCATACATTATTGCTCCACTCTAAAATTTACCTTTGGTTGTGTAAGGGTATAAGTATATCAATTGCTTATAAAATAAATAGGAAAATCATGATATAGTAGTGATAAGATGATAAAATCAATGACTTACCACTTCTATATCATGCATTTTCTATCTGTGTGACAAAAAGTTTGAAAATTGTGAATTTAATTTAAAACTTAACTCGCGTAGATGAAAAGATGGGGTTAGTATGTATAAATGCATTTCTCATATATAAATACCAATGCTGCATAGAGGTATTTGAAGATTTGAGTGAGAAAGAGCCTGAACGTCGTCTGGTCCGAAATCAAATTTATGTCTAGGAATCTAGACAGTCAATATCATTGATGGTCTAGGTCTAGACGTAGGGGCATTTTTTTAGAGAACAAGGATGTCTAGGTTCGAATCTCGGCGACGACAGGCTTTTTTACAAATACCCAAGTATTTGTTTTCACCTTTGAGGTTCGGGGATGGTCTTAATATTTCGTAGGGGGATTTCTGAGAATTGTTTCCGAATTTTCAAATTATTCAGCAACTCATTTTAGATATTTCTGACATTTCAGATTTTGTTTTGCGATTTTTCGATTTATTAAATTCACAATTTTCAATAAAATATTCGATTACAAAAGCGTTGTGACTCAGGTCACGCAAACGTACTGTTAATTTTACTACCTAGAGACACGCTAACGCTAACGTGTCGCTTATTTTATCACTGGAAGCACGCTAACGTGGCGCTAATTTTACTACCTGGATGCAAGCTAATGTATCGCTTATTTTATCACAATGTTATGTGAGACTTTTCATTTCAATTTGAGCTGTGTCCAGGCCGTTGGAGTCAGCGTATGGGTTGAAATTTTTCTGGTGGTGGCAAAGTCATTGCTTCGTCTTATTATTGTATATTCACGGGTCGGCATGCGCAAGATATTGTCAGACTGCCTCTAATGATAAAATTAGGGGCACGTTAGCGTGCTCCGAGTCACGGGGTTACAAAAAATGTTTAGTATATAAATATGTAACAAATATGGGACCTGTTGAGGGTTTCTTAATAAGCAAGTTTTAGATCCAGCACCCACAAAAACAACCAGTAAATTAACGTAAATGCTAAACTGAAAACTCTTACCGCTGCCTTTTCTACTCGGAGGTTGATGTAACGGAGAAGATCCCAACGATCCACTTATCATATCTAAATCCGGAACTGCTTCATTAAGAGCTGGACAACTTGAGCTAAGCCTTGCAACTTGTGCCAGGAAGGGATTGAGCGCGAATGCTGCGAAATCTCTCGAGTGTGCACCGTAAGAACCTTGAAACAAAGTTATAAATTATAATCAACATTTCAACACATACATAGAGACGAAGCTGTAAATACGTGAATTCCAATTAAACTTTGGATATAACATTAAATTAAATAATTACCTTTTTATGTTTTATTTTACTGACTCAAAGAATAATAAAATCAAAAACTTTAATACGAAGAAATTTAATTATGCAAATTAAGATTTTCATGTTTTTCTTTATTATATTCAGTTTGCAGAGCCATAAATTAAAAACGGAATATTTTTTCATATACATAATAAAAATGTGCATTTTCTTCTCGGATTCCATTAATGAATTTGTGATGGATATATAGATTACCTAATGTTAATACCGGCATTTACACAATGCAAATTTATTGAAAATTTTTAATCCTAACTGTTGCTAGTGATAAATAGCTAATAGCATAAATTCGTTATTTTGGATAATTGCGATTAAAGTTTACTGTATTTCTTAACGTTTGAGGTTTTTCAATAATTAAGTTCGTGTATCATTTAATTGTTTTATGTTGTAGATTAAATTATTTATAAAATTAGCTTTCACACATGCGTAAATTTTGATCCCGTTAAAGAGCACTAAAAGAAAATAATGCAAGGAATGTCAGATTACTGAATTCCCAATAAAATTACCTTTTTCAATTATGTGTCGTGGTACTTATTTAAATTGGTTAGAATGACGGATGGACCAGGGGCGTGCGGTCCATGGAAGCGGGGGAAGCACCGCTTCCCTACACTTTGAAATTTAAAAATAAATATTTTTAAGTTTACAATGCATAGAAATTAATATTAAATTAGGTACTATATTTTCTCTGAAACATTACGTAAACCTCGTAAATATACTAACAATTCATTGGTATGTAAACGCACGCACCACCCATGAGAAAATTAATTGTGTAAACGTACAAACGGTCTGTCAGCGGAAGCGCCTCTTGAAATAACCTGTTCATCTTGCAAGCAAGTGATTTCGCTTAGTGTTATTGACCCTGCGTTGCAGCGACAGTTTCAGTATGTTTGGAAACGTGAAATACGGTCGAGAGGCAGCGATTATTACGTCGCCTTACGCTTATTGCAATTCGCACCGCGAATCGACGTGTGAGGAAAATCTTATATTTTAGGTGGATTTCGGTTTGTTTTTCGTAGTTGTTTTTCTTTTTGTAAAATAGAGGAACTATGCACTGTGCCTGTGAACAATAATAATGTGGTAAATTGTGTCGGTATTGTGTGCTCTTTATTGAAAAAAGGATTTTCAAGTAGAAATGTTGAAGAGAAAACGGACATTATTAGTTCTAATAGACTAAAGGATCCTATCAATTTAGAGACGAAAGTAGAAAAACCAGCAAAGAAATTTACCAGTCATTTTCACGTAGGGTTCTATGGAAAGTATGAATGGTTAACCGGCTGCAAAACTTTGAAGAAATTGTTTTGCTGGCCTTGCCTACTTTTTAGTATAGTCGAAAAAACACATTGGAACTCAGTCGGTATTACAGACTTGAATACTTTTCACAAAAGTGTAAAACGACATGTAAATAGCAAATCTCATATAAGTGCTACAATTAAAGAAATAACATTCGGGACCTATCGCATTGAACATAATTTGGACAATCATTTAAAAATAAGCAACAAAATTCACAATGAAAGGGTAAAAAAAAATAGGGACGTCTTACAACGATTAATAGATGTAACTTGTTTCCTGGGAGAGCATGAACTAAGTTTTACGGGTCACAATGAATCAAGTGGATCCGCCAATCGAGGAAATTACATGGACCTTCTAAGTTTTTTAGCAAAATACGATAATACCCTAAAAAATCATTTTATTGATTCGGCGACTGATGGGTCACATTAAAAGTGAAATTAAAAAAGCACCTTTCATATCAATTGCGCTTCATGAAACCACAGATGTAGCAAACTTAAGTCAATTATCCATTGTTGTACGATATGTATTGGATGGCATTCCTCAAGAGCGATTCTTAGGATTTTTGGACGTCACTAGCGAACGAACTGCAGATGCATTGTTTAAAATGGTTTGTGACATTATTTCATGTTTAGAATATGGTTCTAACCTTGTTCCCCAGAGCTACGATGGTGCTGCCGTAATGGCTGGCCATTTAGGAGGCCTTCAAGCTAAAGTGAAAGAAAAGTTTAAACATGCAATTTTCTTTCACTGTATAGCACATAGACTTAATTTGGTTTTATCGCGAAGCATGGAAAATATTAAAGATTGCAAAGTTTTCTTTTCGACGCTTAGTGGTTTGGCTTCCTTCTTTTCAAATTCATCGAAAAGAACACGCGCTTTGGACGTTCACGTTCAAAGAAGGTTTCCAAAAGTTGCTCCGACGCGATGGAACTACAATAGACGTTTAGTGCAAACAGTGTTTCAATACCGTGATTCTTTGATAAACTTTTTTCAAGACGTTTGGGATAATAAATAATAATAATAATAATAATAATAATAATAATAATATTACTCTCCCTAATTCACCCCCTTACGAGTGAATTTCAACCCCTGAAGTCGACTGAACGACTTGTGTAGGGGAAGGGACGGCTATTATTATTATTTGCCGTGGCGCTCCGGGGCGACTTAAGGATGATTGATGGTGCCATTTGACTTATAGGTGAGGAAAACCCGGCAAACCTCACCCACCATCATCGAGACGATAATGTATGGCGATTTTATAATCTGCATGTCATATCAATAGAAATTGAATTTCTATTAATACGGCACACATCAAATCCTAAACCGAACCATGCAATTTAATTAAAAATCCACATGGTCTGGTCTGGGATTCGAAGCCCAGCAGTCTTGGACTCATAAACTTGCCTATAAATGAATATAAGCGCGTTAGACCGCTACACCATCGACCCGATAAAAGAAACATGGGATGCTGATTCTGTTACTGCTGCTAAAGGGTATTTGCATTGGCTCAAACAAAACTTTGATTTCAATTTTTTGCTTAACATTTTTGCAGATATTTTCCCTTTTACTGACATTTTATTCGACATTTTACAAAGTCAAATGACATTGGCTTTTGCATTAAACAAATTGATGATTTTAAAAATAAAATGAATAAAAAACGAGATCAGTTTGAACACTTTTGGAATAAGACTCAAAACATTGGCTTAGAACCTGAAAGAAAGAGAATTAGAATTGATAATGTCGGCGACAGAGAGACCTCCTATCGTCGATGATACGCCGAAATTTTTGATAATATTCTACAATAAATGAACTCTCGATTTCAAAACTTTAACGAATTAAAATTTGCTGAATTGTGCAATTTTAATATTAGTAACTACGATTCATCAAAATTTCCATCGGAAGCTTTTAATTCACTAAAATTAAATTATGGAAATTTTTTCGATATTCCAGCATTAAAGTCCCAGTTAAGTGTTGTTTATGAAACAACTGAAATTAGTGATAAAAAGACGCCTATCAATGTGTTAAATTTTCTTATAATAACTGGTTTAAATAAGTCCCTTTGTGAAGTATTCAAGTTGTGTGAATTAGTACTAACCATCCCACCCACAAATGCGTCAGTTGAGCGAAGTTTTTCAGCTTTAAAGCGCATTAAAAGTTTTATACGAAATTCAACAAGTGAAGACAGACTCTCTAATTTAGCCCTAATATCCATTGAAAAACAGGTTGTTAAACAGTTATCAGAAAATCCAAAATTTTACGACGATGTTATAGACAAATTTGCAGCCATTGAGGATAGGCGAATATATCTTAAGTATAAATAAATGTCAACTGCTGTGTCAACTGTGCGAAAAATGCTGGAGAAAATAAAAAAAAAAACTTTAGTTAAATGTTTTTTTTTACGTTTAAATAAACCAAGGAAGCTTTTCAATGGTAAGTTTTTTATAGCTTCTAGTACTAAACTAGGTAATAAAGTAATAGTAACACTTCAAAAATCTCAATCTCGAATATCCTTAGTACTGAGGAAAAAAGCAAGATTTTGACAAAATGGTGAATGTGCCACGAAAAATTTTCGTCTGCGGCGCTGTGCTTACTGGCCTGCTATATTTTTATACAATCGCTTCCCCTTCCAAAAATGTCACCGCACGCCACTGGGATGGACACATACTTCTAATAATATACCAAATCAGTCGTTTACGCAGGTTCATTGAGCTAGAAGTAAAATAATATTCGAAGGCATTTTGTACCACTTATATCGCGTAATCTACGATTTGATATCTGTGTCCTGAAGGTTGAAATTTGTTGTAAAACAATTCATTAAATTGTAGGTCAATAAAGGCACACGACACTTAAACAAAAAAAATATATCAATACGAAGAAAAATGGATGCATAACCAGCATAATACTTAGGTCCGGAATTGTAATGTTTAAAACGTTCTGAAGTTCTCTTAAGTTTTTACGGATACTTCCTGTTTTTTACAGCAGTCCCATGTCTTACAATAAATTATTTAATAAAGATAAAAATATTTCCATTCTATCGACCTCGAAAACCTTAGAGTGAATCAAGCCCCAAAATGAGAAGAATAAAATGATTCACAAACTCAACAATAATTACAGAGAGTAAATGAAAAGGTAAAGGGGTCCAAGAAATAATTAGATCCTTAAAGTTTGTTTTAAATGCTGACATCAAAATAAATTATATTATCTACAGTATTTAATCAACTAGAGAAAAATTTAGATGGTATCCCATTTGTTCTAATGAAAAAAAAAATCAAAATATTTAAAGCCAGTTGCAAAAACGTTCACTAAAATTTACGAGCCCGGTAAATTTTGACAGCGCTTGACAATGTGATCTGTCTGAATCATTGAGAATGGTCTGAATGAAATGTGTTTCAAATTAAGCACAATCTAATAGTTTTGGTATAATCAGCTATTGAGAGATTTTAACTAACGTTATTCCAACCAGGTAAAACTAATAAATATTAACAATTTTTGTTTTTATTTTGTAGATATATTACCTCTTTATTTTATTTATGACGTAATATACATCTTTTCTTATAAAAACGTATTTTGTCCACC